CGTTCATGAAGCTGCGGGTTGTCGGCACTTCAGCAAGCTGCCGATGGGATGTTCCTTGGTGCGTGCGGGTCAGAGCAGGCCATTGTATCGAATGGGACAAGGAGCAATGTCCTGATTCCGTTGGCGTTACCCCATCGTGCCGAGCTCTGGAAGAGTGCCGCGGTCATGGACAGGGGCCAACCCCACTTTGGCAAGTCTGAATTATGGGATAAAGTTTGAGGGAAAACCCACGGAGATACGATCAATGCTATGACGATCGACCTCTTCAGCATAAAGGGTGATGCCCCCCCTTCGGCTGCTGTCATTCTTTTTTATCCCCTTCTCTCACTTCCTACCCGCACCATTACCGTTATTCCCCCGTTTAGATTTGACCATCATCAACTGTTATACAATGACCGATTACAAGTTCGAAGGATGGATGGGCCTGGATGCCGAGTCCGCCAAGGGCAACATGGTCTGGCAGGAGTACGAACCGAAGCCATGGGAGGAGACCGATGTTGATATCAAGATCACCAATTCTGGTATCTGTGGTTCAGATCTGCACACCCTCAGATCCGGCTGGGTAAGCACAGAATCCCATGTTAGAACTGTTGAAGATACTTTGGATTGGAGGAGGTTCAAAAGGCTATGCTGGGGTGGTTTTTTGTCTGTCAGACAGGTCGAATATAAGTTGCTGACATCTGGCTTGCTGCACAGGGCCAAACTCCCTACCCTTGTGTTGTCGGACACGAAATTGTCGGTGTAGCCGTTCGGGTAGGTTCCAAGGCCGAAGGTGGCATCAAGGTCGGTGACGTGGTTGGTGTTGGTGCGCAATCCGACTCTTGCCTCGGCCGTGATGGCCCTTGCAACGAATGCAGCCATGATGCTGAGAACTACTGCACCAAGCTTGTCAATACATACGCCTCCGTACACAGGAATGGAGGAAAAGGTTATGGCGGCTATGGTCTCTACCACCGTTGCCCGTCACACTTTGTGATTAAGATTCCTGACGGGCTTGCCCCGGAGTACGCCGCCCCTATGCTCTGCGGTGGCGTGACTGTGTACTCGCCTCTCAAACACTTTGGAGCTGGGCCGGGCAAGAAGATCGCCGTGGCGGGGGTCGGTGGTCTGGGACACTTTGCGGTCTTATTTGCCAAAGCATTGGGGGCAGACGAAGTTGTAGGAATTTCCCGAAAGGCAAGCAAGAGACAGGAGGCTCTCGACCTGGGCTGCGACGACTACATCGCAACCGACGATGACAAGGACTGGGAAAAGCATAATGCCCGCCGGTTTGATCTCATCATCAGCACTGTTTCTTCCGAGAAGGTAAGCCGAAACCCTATCTTTGCTATCGTGCAGCGCAAGTCTATGATGGCTGTGCATCAAGTCGTCCTGGCTTAGATAAGAAGATGACGGCTTGACTAACGTGCGCCATAGATGCCTCTGAACGGTTACATTAACACATTGGGATTGGATGGTACACTCGTCCAGGTCGGAGCCCCCGAGGGTCCTGTGCCCTTGCGCATCTTTAGCATTATTCCTGGCCGTCGCCGAATTGCCGGATCCGGTATCGGCAGCCCGAAGGAGATTCGAGAAATGTTCCAGTTGGCTCTGGACAAGAAGATCAAGCCATGGGTTGAGAAGCGCCCAATGAAGGATGCTAATCAGGCCATCGTTGATATGGAAAAAGGCAAAGCAAGATTCCGATACGTGCTGCAGAATTAGAACATGTTGCGGGCATCGTATTCCATCTTAGACACAAATCGGGGCGGGGTCTATGCGGCAAAGATTGTCCTATGTTTCTGGGAGCGAGATTCCGTGGAGGCTGACTGGAATTATTAGAGGCGTTTTGGGTATGTATTCCAGATGTAGAGCAGCGGCGACATCACAAAAACCCCATGTGAAGTAAATGATACATAGTTTAGAATACGCCGACGAAGCACCGGACTACGGCTTGGGCCGTGATCGGTTTAGGGCTGAAATGCGACTGGTATGGGCACCTCAGCGCCATATCGTATTCACTCGGTTGATGTTGAGCCGAATGCGATGTGGTTCCATTTTGAGAGAGCGCACCACAGGGCCAGGCCCACGAGTGCCAGAGCCCCTGCCGTGAGTCTGATTGTGCCATCTGGTATTAGGAGCGGTCGAGTTGGGCTCTTGGTTATTGAAGCAGGGACACGGATCTGGTGACAAGGAGATGCACAGGACGCTGTCATGTCGTGTGATGGAGGGTCGAAAGGGGAGAAAGTGGATGGGCGGCCGGTCTAGCCTGACTGAGTGATGCAGTCAGTAGTCATCCTCGTATTCAACACACCAAGTGGGAAGGAGCTATCAACGGCCTGGCCCCAGGTGTGACTAACAACTCCAGCTTGATCAATTTTTTTCTCCTTCAGGATTTTCTTTCCTCGTCCTTTAGCCGTATGCGGTTGAGGTTCCCTTTCTCAGCCCGCCATGCCTGCTGTGATACCGTGGCGTTGTTTCTTTTGTCGCGCTTGAAGGTCAGCTACCTAGTACCTTGATACTAGCCAATGCAGGGGCCGTTGAGCCTGTAGCACACGTACGTACCATTACATGTTGCTGAACAGAAAATGGGCTGCAGTGCGGCCTATGAGTGTAGAGCTGGCAGTATGTTCTTGTCGGGTCTGGTTCGATGACGATGTCTCTCAACTAAGCTCAGCCCCAGCTGGAGTACGCTGGCCATCAGAACCTGGAAGGATGTCCAAACAGCCAACTCAAGGATTCCCACAAAGGAACGGTATCATCAGGCTGATTAATACGAGGTTGGCCCCAACACAATACTTGGGTTCACCAAGGCAACGACAAACCGCTTGGCCCACAGACTGGCTTTTGATTCTCAGGCCAGGCCTGGCCGGCCGTTGACAGACTCCAGTTTGCCACCTACGAACCTGCTCCGTACATGATGCATGCATCATCACCACTTCAATCAATCAGCCCGTGCCAAGCGGACGGACTTTGTCGTCTAGCCCCTCCCCCAATCACGGCTCGCAGGACCCTTGAACAAGTGACCCATTTACAGGCTTACAGCAATCAATAATCCCTGTTGTCGGGGGGCAACCCGAAGAGTCGCGTTGCTCCAAAGAATTTATCTGCAAGCGATTGGAAGTCACGCATCGAATCCCTATCTAGACAGGTCCGGCTAGCCTAGCCTGGTGCTGATCCTCGTGCCATCCTTCTCGAATATCATTATGAACGTCATTGATCGAAAGAGAGGTCCGAGATGAAGGCCGAAATGACGCAGTCAAAAATAGATCCAGGCACATTGACGATCAATACCAAGAGACTCCCGATCTAGCTTGGCCGACTGCAATCCTTTGTGTACCTACAAGAGTAGTTACTCGGTATTCAAGCATTTCATGTAGCATCGGAACGGTTTCCCACCCCAGCACAGCTCTTGGGACTAAAAGAATGAAAGTCCCAGTATCTCATACGATATTTTCACCATCAGGCGTTAGGTCTTTTTGAGAGTAGTGTCTTACTGAGTTGGTGGTGTTTGACACGCGCATGCGCCTTGCAACACGAGAAGTGGCGGGTGGTACGGAGTAGCTATACCACCAATTCCATTTTCAAGCTTAAGCAAGAATCGGGCTTCTTTTCCTGCATGATTGGACAAGAATAGGTTTCCAAGCCCTTGGGAGGTGCGGGAAGGAAATCGAAGGAAAATCTCTGCAGGCTCATGAGCATCATCAGGCAGCCAGCCTACGATTTCTGCCCACAGTCATCAAATGGACGGCGACATGTCGAGGTTATTGCAGCCAACTCCCCACAATGGCCCACTGGCAAACAGAGAAGCAGCGAGAAATAACGCATACTAATACTACTCCGTACTCCGGTCCTGGCAAACGAGAGAGCCTGTTGTTAAATGGGGGGATGTTTCCCCTATGCCCAGAGAGAGGCGCTCTTCAACCCATTTCAACCCGGCGACGTGGTCGTAGTGTGGTTTTGTCCCCGCTGCCTCCAAACCTTGTGCTTCGAAAAGGAAATTCTGCCACGCGAAAGAGGAGGCTCTAAAAGCGCCGGTTCCTGGCCCTCGACGCCTCTTTTCGGCTTAACTTCAGCCTGGTCGCTCAGGCGGATTGGACCGTTGGGCCAGTGGGATTTGGGAACGGAGCAGCCATGGGACCATGACGGCACAAACGCCCCAGGAAAACCGCACTGCTAGTGCCGAATCGGAGTTTCCCACAGGACGGACCCATACTTGGATCGAGTCCCGGTGAAAGAAGAGGAAGGAATCCATCACGTCCTGCAAAAAGACATTGCAGCTAACAAACAGTCCTGCTAGACCTCAACAGCTCAGGATCCCGCCCAACCCCTTAGGAGTGAAACACGACGACGTTGCCGCTATGCCATGACGGGAAGTTGGGGGGTGTTTGGTTCGATGTTGGCCCTTGTACGTTGGTTGGCAACGTTGGTTGCCCATGATGGTTTCTCGCAGTTTGACCTGGCGCGGTCGGATTGGCCTAGCATTGTTCGGCGCTAGCTAGCCCTAGTGATTGGGAACAAGACGAGCTCTATCCCGGCCACCTGGCTGGGTCTTCTGGGTTGTTTAAAGTGGTCGGGTGAACGCCGCCGAACATGACGCACCCCTGCACGCCCACGCCCAATCACATTGACGGCCCGTCAAGCGCCTCGGATGGCCAACGCTCGAGGTGTGGGCTTTGACGGCGATGCAGGGTTACTTACGGGATCTCGTATTTTTTTATGCGTTTTCTGGCTAGCAACCAAGGCTGGCAATAGCCGTGTCTGCCCTGTTGCTGTTGGTACGAGCAAAGTTAATGGTTCTGACAAGTCTGCTTGGCCCCGGAACCCAGCCCGGATCGCTGATAAAAAGGACTGGACGCCTTTGCTCTCAGGAATCTTGTTTCTTTCTTCTTTCCATGTTTCACTGTCGTTTGTTGTAAAAAGTCTTTCGTTACAAAGACACTCGCTATTCGTCACTGCTTACATCCCCCGTTAGGAACTCTTCGTTATAATAACAACCTGACACCCAAACAGCCATCAAGATGAAGGCGGGTTTCGTTGTTGGCGCTCTCGCCGCCTCCGCTGCTGCTCACACTTATCCAAACTGCGAGCATGACAACTGCTACCGTGCTCTGATCAAGGACGGTCTCCAGGACAAGGCCAAGGCCTTCTGCTTCGACTGGCTTGCTGGTACTACTACTGCTGCCTCTGCCATTCCCACCGACTTCAGCAACTGCAACGTGCAGGCCGCCAGCTCTGCTTGCTCTTGCGTCACTTACACAGCTACTCACACAACTGGCCCTACTACCACTACTCCTCCTCCCGTCACCACTACGACCAGCGAGAAGCCTCCTACGACCACTCCCGCGACTAGCGAGCAGCCTCCTACCACTACTCCCACGACCAGCAAGACTGAGCAGCCTTCAACAGCGACTCCTACCACTCAGGGTCCTCCTACGGCTACTGCCACGACCGAGAAGCCTCATACCACCAGCCAGAGCACCACCAAGTGGACTACTTCCACCATCTGCACCACCAAGACTCACACTATCACCTCATGCCCCCCCGAGGTGACCGAGTGTCCCGGCGGTGGGCACACCACAGTCGTAACTGAGACCATCCCCATCTCTACGACGGTCTGCCCTGTCACCGAGACTGAGGCTCCTCCTACAACCACTGCTACCACCAAGTGGACTACTTCCACCATCTACACCACCCAGACTAATACTATCACCTCATGTCCTCCCGAGGTGACCAAGTGTCCCGGCGGTGGTCACACTACAGTCGTAACTGAGACCATTCCCATCTCTACCACGGTCTGTCCTGTCACTGAGACTGAGGCTCCTCCTACAACCACTGCTACCACCAAGTGGACTACTTCCACCATCTACACCACCCAGACTAATACTATCACCTCATGCCCTCCTGAGGTGACCGAGTGTCCCGGCGGTGGGCGGACTACAGTCGTAACTGAGACCATTCCCATCTCTACCACGGTCTGCCCTGTCACTGAGACTCACGCTCCTCCTCCTGCTGGCAACCAGACGTCTACTCTCTACACCACCCAGACCTATACCATCACCTCTTGCCCTCCTTCTGTGCCCAGCTGCCCCGTTGGCAAGGTCACAACCACTGTCTACCCTACTGGCACAACCACCATCAAGGGCTGGACCTCTATCCCCGCTGTTCCTACTCATCCTACTGGAGTCCCCCCTGTTCCCACTCAGGCTACTCAGCCCACTGGCGCTCGTCCTTCCAAGACCACTCCGTCCTCCCCTCCCGTTGTCACTGCCGCCGCGGGTCACCTTGTTGGAAGCCTCGAGCTCGTTGTCGCCGCTGCAGGTGTTGCCGCTCTCTTCCTGTAAGGGGGAGTCGCAATATAGCCTCGCAAGGGCTTCGTTTTTAGATAGCTCATGATTCTTCTCAACCACTAAGCTTCTTTAAAAGAGTAACGATTTTGAATGTAAATATTAAGGTGGAAACTAAAGGATTCTAGCGGTAGTTGAAACAATGCCAAGCTGCTTCTGGGCGCCATGGATGAAAACGGTACAATGACACTTAACACTTCCCGGTAGGATTAATACAAACAGTATAATCTGAAAATGGACCACGTAAAGCATACATGTGATAAGGGAAAATAAGGCAAAGCAAAGACGACCTCTCGGTGAGAGGGAAGACCAAGTCTAATATGCTGTTGGGGAGGGGAAAGAGGGAAAAAAAGGAAGAAGGAGTGGGGGGGCTGAAGTATAATAGACAATGGAGACTCATAGAGTAGGAAAATTGAGTACTACGACTGAAGAGAGAGACTCGTGATTTTATATCTTACCAAGTCCAGGTGACTGTCTACTCCCTTTTTACTCAGCCAATGACCCCTCCACCCCTCCCATCATAATGTGTTTCTTTGTGAAAGATTGGAATAATAACTCAACTCATTTTCGACAGGCTTTGGTGTTCAAGGCCTTGATGATCAAAGAGCTCTATTTATACAAGAAGTCGGTGAGAGCCTTATGCCATAGGCCTCGTGAGCGTAGCCCCTGTGGGACCATGTGGCACGACCCGCGTTACAAACCAATACACGCGTATAATATTGTACTGTGCAAACATATTTTATCAGTGAAGTATGCTGGTTTACCCGTTACCTGCACATTTGGCAAGAAACTTACGGAGTACTGATAGGCTACTACGCAACCGTGTTGTGCTAGCTTGTCCTTGTTCGCTTCTCATTTTGCCCCTGGAGGCTGTTCTAAGATGGCTATTGCCTGCGGATCAAGCGGCTCGTCGGCTCTTTGGTCCAGGCTATGTGCTCACGTGGCTTCGCCGGCATGGACGGATACAACAATATACTATCATGTCACATGTGGCGACGAGATTTGACGGAAACATGGGAATTATGCTTTCGTTATATTGGACTGTTGGCTCCTACAAAAATATAGTTCAAGTTTGCTTGACGTTTGTCGAAACGCGGAGGTAGGGTGGGCCACGCTAGATAAAGACGGCAATGTGTGATGGTCAGTCCGGTTTGTACGTTTAGTGAGAACCACATTTCGGTACCATGTTGCTCAGAACACTGATCGGACCAGAAGATTGTTCTTTGGTCCGTGTAATTGTGTCAATAGGGTGTGAAAACTGAGCTGCATGTCGTACGGGTGGTAACCAACCCTCATGTTTCACGCGCGGACGTTGAGGGCTAGTTGGACCCGGAAGAATCAGATAGGGCGAGAAATGGGGTGGTTGTGTTTGCCGGATTGAGCGAATTTTGGTTGCTGCGGATGGGATACGCAATTTCCTATGCACCTCTAGTTTGCAACCGGAAATCTTGTACAGCTCCCGTGATGAGCAGAAGTGGTTCGCTGTATTGCCAAAGTTAGGAATCAGGGAGAATCCAGAGGATGCTCGTGCTGTTCATGTGGACGGTCACGGTAATGGGTTTTCGAGTGAACAATACGGCGCCTGGGAGGTGGGCCAAAGGCCGCCGAAGGTGCGTTGGGACCAGCAGGAAGGGCTGCAAAGCGTCATGCCAGATCCAAATCTGCCTGTGCAAGACGTCAGTGTGGTAGGTGTCTTAAATTAAAACCCCGAATGAACTAATTGGAGGGGGATTAGAGATGCTGGACAATGCCCGGGGACTGACAACCAAACCAGACGGCCATCGCTGGACTGGCAATGACGTGACACGCTGCAAGTCAAGGGGCTGTGTTGGTTCCGAGAGCGTTGGGCTGTTTTGACGTACTGCAATACTAGCACCTAAGTCGCGTGAACAAGGAGAAGCATGTGCCCCATGCGGGACATCGGGTATGGAGTCAGATTTCATTCCTTGTCTGTGAGATCAAATTGATCGTAACCGCGCTCGCGATTCGGTCTGCGTGTCAAACGGGTGGAAATCAGTTCTGCAGGGCAAAGCAGCCTATTCTGTCGCACGTTAGCCTAGCCCGGTATTAGAAATTGTAGGTGTCAATTGATATTACCCGACTTGAGTTCTATAGTCATGATAACGAGCATTGCAGATTCGTGAAACAGCACAGCCACGCTAGGAAGCCGAGCTCCCGACTATGTGGGCTTGCGGTCCTTGTCTGGGGTCATACAGCGCATGGCTAAATGTACTTTGTACGTGAAGAAAGCTTTGTATGTTTGTGCCGATTTATTGTCTTGCCTTCATGCCGTGGCCGGCTCACTGATTCTTTGGTTGAAGTGACTCCAGTCCAGAGTCGACAAGTCGACCGAAATACTGGGGCAGTGCCACCTCCCCATGTGTGGATTTGGCGTTGTGGACGGCAACTGCAAACCAGGCCGCATCCTTTCCCGACGAGGCGCAGCACAAGGCAGGCACCGCAAGGCATCGCGCAACAGGCTGACTGGGGGGGTCACACTCCGTTGCTCTTTCCCCTTTTGACGCCTATGCCTAACATTGGCCAACCCAGAGGCCATATCCAATAAAATGCCACTGTCCTTCGTCCTGTCATTGGCTTCTTTCTTTCGTTTGGGGGCTGCCCCGCTCCTCCCGGCCGCCAGCTAGCCATCAGCCGCCATTGACTGTGCCTCACTGCACCACCCGACCTGACCTTCAACCCTCAACCGTCTTCACCACCTTGCATCATCTCATCGTTTCTGCCATTGTCAAACTGGTGCGGCCCGCGTCCGTGATGACGGCTAGCTATCCACGAACCCCGCCGTGGTGGAGGCCGCTGGTGGATAGACCAGACTTTAACTTGGATTTTCCGTCTGGAGAGAGCTAATCATGCCGCGAGCTTCTCCAGATGCTTCGCGCATTCTAGAGCCAGGTAGGTGTATCTCAGGGCTGACAATCTGCGGCCCAGAATGAGGCTTCAGATGGTTTTGTATAAAAGGACAGCCACAGCGCAATGCCTTCTCTTTGTCCAACCGCCTCGACTATCTCTTCTGCTTGGCATGGGACCTTGGACGAGGGTTT